ATGTAATCATTATAAGTAGCACACCCAGAGAAAATAAAGTAGCACACTCCCCCGATCTCAGAATTTACAGACAGGTGATTTGTACTTTCCTGGAGGTTACACAAATCAAACCATTTTCATTATATTTCAGAAAAGGATTATTTGATACCTAATATAAATCTCTACATTAAATTTCACAACGTGTGTTCTTTTATATATTGGTATACTCAGATGAAATGTATTAGTTTTTCTGTGGTCATCATTCTTTGAAGTCCTGAAAAAATGACAAGATTTATCTATGTTTTTTTCTATGGCATTACCCAGTACAAATACATAGACACATATAAACATCGCCGGCTCTGTAATGTACCAATTTCTTTGCACAAGTAGAAGTTTTTATGGCGTGGCGCTGATTAAAACAGCGCCAATCGTATTTCTCTTCCTGTTATCTTAGTCAATAAGTGACAAAATGCGAGTGGGGGTCTGTGTTAATAAGATATCTATTTAAGTCAAGAAACTAAATGATGTTCACCCTAATCTTATGGAGTACAAAAGATTAATATTGAAAAACATCCTGACTGAAAAAATGCGAAGTACTGCAACCTTTGTACTTAACTCTTGCAAAGTAAGACTGTAGTATTATATTATAGAAAATACACGTGGTATCTTCAGCTGATATGGATTTTTGAAAATGGAAAATATTACCCGAGTCAAACCTTAAAAAATCTTTATTTGAATTCAGGCAGGAGATTCATTCTGATTTTAAGGGCAGTTTGGCTGAGATTCTTGTGTAAGACAATCAGATAATATTTTCCAAAGGAAAGGAGAGGTTACATAAAAAGGTTTAAATTTATTGAGATTGATTAAAACTCTTTAATTGATACATGTATCTTTTGCCATTTCCACACTTTATTCACCAGATGTAGAAAACGGTTTACAATATTTTACCCCCCCCCTAAGAATTAACAAGAAAGCAAGTCATTGGAACATTCCAGTGGGTCTGTTGCTCATGTTTGTTAAAATTTTTAACTTTAATAGGTCAGTGTGTGTGCGCGCGCGTGTGTGTATGTGTGTGTGGTCTATTTTTTTTTTTTTATGAGTTTGGATGAGGACATGGTACAATGGGATAGGGGACGAGGGATATAGAGGAATAAAAGACGAAGGGAGGAGAGAGGGGGGAAATATAGTGCCCAAATAACATTTACAATCTTAGTTTTCTGTTAAAGTATAGACATTCTGTCCAATTTTTATCAAAAATAAATCTTGTGTAGGTAGAATACCACACGTCAGTCAATCTGAAGATGTTCTTCTTCTTAAATAAAACATGAGTCACGGAATAGAGTGGTGCGGTCCTCTCTGACAATGCTTGTAAAGTTCAAGGTCACATAAAAATTATGATTGTCAAATGCAATCATCACTTTCGTGTCTCCTATATTTTTATTCTGTAGCTATTCTATAATCTTGTAAGAGACTTGAAATCTTCAAAAGTCTGAAATATCGAAATGACCACTGTTTACTTGATTTAACATTGGACTCTAGTCTAATTAATTTGCCATGTTGATTTGAAAACAGAATTCTGACCTTTTATATCAAGAAAAAAAAGTTTACTTATAGAAATTTGTCTTAAAATCAAATTATACCATGGGAAAGACAACACTTGGTTCAATTGCATATTTTCAGAGTTGTGCGCCCAGTTTTTAAAATTTGTTTGAAGTTGGTACTCCTAAGCAAAAACCTTTTTTTTTTAAGTTAAGATAAAATTTATCCAATCATATTTTACTTCCCTGTACGTGAACGTCAGAAGTCAATAGGTTATCATCAAACATACCGTTCTTATAAGATTGAAGTTTACTTGATTTAACATTGGACTCTAGTCTAATTAATTTGTCATGTTGATTTGAAAACAGAATTCTGACCTTTTATATCAAGAAAAAAAAAGTTTACTTATAGAAATTTGTCTTAAAATCAAATTATACCATGGGAAAGACAACAATTGGTTCAATTGCATATTTTCAGAGTTGTGCGCCCAGTTTTTAAAATTTCTTTAAAGTTGGTACTCCTAAGCAAAAACCTTTTTTTAAGTTAAGATAAAATTTATCCAATCATATTTTACTTCCCTGTACGTGAACGTCAGTAGTCAATAGGTTATCATCCAACATAAGATTAAAGCCACAATGCAGGTGAAAAATGCTTCAAACATATGTACGTTATACGCTCATACAAGTATAAACTTGCTCTGTAGACATGCATGCTATGTTTAAAAAAAAATATGAGCACTATATATACTTTTCAATTTATAGATAAGGGAAGCGAAAAATAAAATATCGTATATAATATTATATTAAAGACTTGAATGATAGACTGTATAAATTAAAATGAACTCTATCATTTCCATACATTAAAAGAGAGATAATTCATTGGTTGTTCAGAATATCTTTAATATCAGCTGAAGTGTTGAAAAGTATATGTTTCTTGAATATATAACGATTTTGACTTGAAATTAAAAAAAAAATTATAAAGTGATTCGGTACAAAAAAAATTAGTGAAATAAAAAAGTGTTAAGAAAGAGAAAATGATTTCGTTAACTCAATTTAAGATATTAAAAATTACAGAGGACCATTCTTGAGCAACATGAAGATGTTATTAAAATTATAAAAAATAAAATATAATTTGTAATTTGTTTTGGAAATCAAAATAATTTAACTCACGCAATTATTCATAAAATAATAGAATGAGATTAAATACTGAATTTATTCGTTGACAGAAAAACATACGCCTCTAAAGAACCCGGTCAGTATCAATCAAGTTTTAGTACACATAAGTGTCAAATCTCTATCAAATCGAGTACAGGCTGGAACTGAGAGAAATCGATAAATAACTTTAAAAAAAAAAGAATCCTTTTAACAGAGTGATCATAGACCCTAGAATTTTAACCTGGAGAGACGGCAGGTAACTGATTTATCTTTTTAATGTATTATAATATGAAAGTTCAATTATTAAAATACTTGAACATGATAAAATATATCATAAAATTTGTCAATAAAGGTATAATGAAAAACATTCTTGTATTTCAGTGCTGAACATGTCCACGTGCTTTTTATTTTGGACATTTTTTGCAGGTATCTACTTTGTTTCCTTTTAGTCTCTTCTTTGATTCAATTTCTCAAATTAAGTACATATACTACTGGAAATAAAACTTTGCCTTCTCTCTCTCTCTCTCTCTCTCTCTCTCTCTCTCTCTATAAAAGGAATTTAACGTGAAACACTGTATATGTTTAACAGAATTATTCATGAATCTCAATTTTACGTCTTATCTCACCTCTGTTTTCTATTTCTATGATTCAGGAATGATGTGACTTCAGTTATTTCATTAGATACCTTTTGATTCGTCGAATCTAAAACACAGTAGCTTAAAGTTATGTTAGTGTTTGTCTGCTGATAATTGTATCCTACCTACTAATTCATCTTTTCTTCAAAGTGTTAAAATTATTTATATTACAACATCTGTTAAAAATTCCTACTTGATGAACTATTAAGAAAACTCGAAAAATTCAACGAAGCATTTTTCTTTGATAATACCATTGTTCAAAAAACGTAAATTCTGCGGCAGAGATTGAAATCAAAGACAGGCTCGATTTGTTATAACTTCGTATCGTTAAATTTATATTGTGAAAAATCCAGTCGACTAAAGTTAGAGGTTCTAGTAGAATTTTCATTATATAAGTTTTGAAAATATTCTACATACATCTAATATACCTTTGAAAGAATTATGTCGAATTGATTTCCTTTCTGCCAGTCATTCTTACAAAGAGTGGACTTGATCAATTCTCTATTTTCTTTCAACTAGGGTTTTGTTTCTGTTTAAATAAAGGACATAATTTGAAGGTAGGTATCTGTTATTTCTCTATACTAATGCCTAACATCTTACATCTTAAATATATTTAACTATAAACACTCATTATTTACAGAATGTCTTTATATCATGAATTTTTACATGTAGTAAAATATCGCATATTAACAAGTGTGAAATAATTCAATGATTGGGATTTCAGAAACCTTTAGTTAATTTCCGTGCCCCGTTTTTACAACAGAGAATGAGACTAAGACCAACATTTAACTAACTTTTTTTCTTTACATTAAGTTGAAAATGGTATTGATCATTTTAAATGAATTCTGAAGGATATTTTTTTGTGAAAGCAATTTTTAACAAAATAATTTATATTCAAAGAAGTCACATACGCTTTTGGTCTTAGTCATAAGTTCTTTCGTAAAATTGGGCTCTGTAGGCATGCTTATGAACATTTTCTAAGATAATGAGATTTTTAAAAGACGTGTTTTATTATATTTCTTGGACATGTCTTAGGACTATCTTAGAGGATTTTTATCAAGTTTAAATATGAAACAGATGTGTCAGACTCTGTGGTGTCTTTTATTTCGAGTTCATCTAAATGTTGAATTAAGAGGTCACAGCAAGAGACTTCTTCTTTTCATGCTGAATAAATTCTGCTTCATGTGAATACAAAAATAGGTCTGCTAACCATGATATAACAAAGATTTCGTTCTATCAAAGTAATCTAGTTAAAACACTTTGTTAGAAAAATAATACTTCTGATGTTTCGGCGATTCAATGTTTGGATCCCTCATGCAATATTTATATTTTATCGCCAATTTTATGTCACGTGAAGTACTTATTATGTTTATAAAACAGCTTCATGGCTTTATATTGCGTCTGTTCAACCTTTTAATTAATAAATTAGTGATTTCATATTTAGCCGTTAGAACGGTGTAATTTGTGGCGTTTGGATGCACATGAATGGATTAAGGAAGTTTTTTTTTCACATTCCCTTGACCCTAGCCGGAGGAAAAAAGGCTCATTTTTGCAAATGTGAGGCTTTTGTTCCATTCAGAACCATCATTTATGGTCCGATAACGAATATTTTGTGAATATAAAATTCTTTTAAGGAAATGGTATTTTGTAAGAAGTTAACCGATATGCATTTAGAAGTCGCAAGGAATCTAGTATGAAATTCGTAACAGCGGACAGCGCCACTGAAGTAGTGAAATTTTCAGTTCGTGATATTCCCTTTCTGGTACAGATAACGGATGTAAAGAAACTATTTTATTATCAGTTTTTAGACTAAATGGAGTGAAATATGAAGATAACGAACAGTAATCAAGCTCAGAAGTCCATTGGAACAATACAGATTTGGAGCAGAGCAAACACTGACCTCTAAAAACTCAGAGGTGGGTTCAGGTGACATGGAGGAGTAAGCATCCATTGTTGACCGGTCACATCCGCTCCTTTTCATGATCGGGAGAACGGAAAAATCCGTAGACAATTCAGTGTGAAAATAATGGCATAACAATTTGTATAAAAACGTGTCAACATTTCACTTAATGATAGATTGTATTTGAAGATAAACATAAATTACTCAAGAGTATAAGTAACATAATTACTTTCTCTTAATTTCCATTTATACAGGTACATGTGTACATATACAATTACACATCACAATGTTTATAAATTGAATTTCATACATTTTACGTTAGTTATTGGATTTAATTACACAAACACTGTACATTTCGTAATTCCAAGTTGTTTCGCTGGCACCAGCGCTACTTAAATCACCTATGCCTTAGGATAAGCTCTTTGTCGTCTTAAAGTTAGGGTAAAGATTAGGAAGTCGTCTAAGATAGGCTTCACTTAAGATTAAGATGGTTAGTTAAAATATATCTTAGTCCCAGTACTAAGACATCTTCATAAACATACCTGCAGTTCTGTTACAATAATTAATTTGTTGAAAATGAGCTATGTTTTGTTTCCTGGCCGTCCATTTTTAAACAAAGAAGCTTCGGATTCATTTCAGATCCATGTTCTTTATTTTAGTATACTATACTGCAATTTCCTATTAAGCTGATCAGACTAGAGGAATAAACTTTAAAAAAAGTAAATCAGTTCAATACTAAAATGAATTCATTTTATCTTCATGGGACAGAATAAACAAGTATGTATGTCTATCTTTTTTTTAACAGTTTCATTCTGTAGAAAATGTTAGTATCTATAACAAGATTAAAGAAGACTGCGATCTGAAGGAACTCCGACATTTCCCGTACATTCACTGCTTTGATAAGGACCATGCTCCTATACACACCGTTTTGATGAATGGATCCAGCCTCAGTGACGGAACTAAATGCCTTGTGTCCTGCAATCACAAGAGGGCTTTCTCTACGTGGAAGGCTTGTGTAAACGGAGAATGGGTGGGGTCGGATTTAAATTGTGACAGTAAGAGGAATGGTGTTCTGTTAATATAAATGTAGCTAAATGGTGAATTTTATTAATAGTTGCATTATAATAAGGGAACATTTGAAGGAAAACAATAACATGTTGATGTTAGATGATTGATCAAGTTGTTCTTCGCATTTTCAATTTTAAATTGGCATCTCTTATGATTGACATTTTTGAACAAAAAATTCTTTTTATTCTTTTTCTTAGTGATGTAATTAATTTGTCATAGATACAACAATAATTTCATATTAACATTTAATTAGAGATACGAAAGAAAGGGCGTGGTCACAGTAGATGGAAAAGATGGTGGTGGGGTGGTGGTGAGTTGTAACATATTGCAGTGATGGTAACGATAATTCAATATCAGTGATTAGTGGATTGATAATATTTAAAACTGTCGTATTTTAATGTTAAGCTGACCCATCAACTAATGATATTTTAGCACACAAATACAATTATTGTAGATGATGGTGATCACACACCGCCAGAAATAACTTGTCCTCCGAATAAATATTTCTACGCTGGCTACACTGGAACAGTTAAAATTTGGTACAATCTTCCGACGGCAACTGATGGTGGAAACCACGATGGCATCACGTAAATCCCTGCTTTGTGAAATAATTATGTCTTTAGAAAAAAAAATTATACGAATATAGCCCTTTTATGAGGTCTATCCATATATCAACATCACAGAAAAACATATCAAGCACGAAGTTCGAAGTCGATATACTTTTCTGGTGAAGTCGATATATCTATGGATTGACCGAATCAAGGGGCTACATTTGGTCTGAAAAATTATAAATTATGTTTCTTATATATCAGGCATACTTATTGTTTTTTTCTTTGTCTAGTGAAATTGAAATAAAATATAAATATAGTGTTCTGATTAAACAAAATATTACTAATATCTATTTGAAGTCTTTTTTTGTTTTGTGTAAATAAATACAGCTTACCTGAAACATATGGCAAAATATGTGTAATTTAGTTTGAAATGATTAACCGGTTGATTGGCAAATATATATATATATATATATATATATATATATATATATATATATATATATATATATATATATATATATATATATATATATATATATATATATATTAATCGACCGATTAATCGGTTAATCGGAAAGTATGTTTCACATGCTTCCCAAATAGATTTTCTGTAATTGCCTTTGCTTAGATATTTAAAATATCAAGGCGACTGTGGTCTTCATTGTTTCATAAATAAATAAGAAGAAATCTTTAAATCGTTTGATATCTTACAGAATGACTAGGACATATGGTATAGCAAGTGGATATAGTGTAGGAATTGGTTCACACAAGGTATGTTACAAAGCTAAGGACAAGTCTGACAATGAGTCCAAACAGTGCTGCTTTTACGTGTATGTCCATGGTAAGTTATTAATAATTCAGGGCTGTTTTTGACCAATACACAAAAGTTGTTTTAATATTTACCTATGAATAAATATGACTGAAATGATTTCTCATTTGTTTAAAGGTTGCGGATCAATTGAGAGATGTAGACAGGTTACCTGTACAAATAGTTATGATAAAACATGTCACCTTTGTGACCCTGGTTATCATCCTGAAGGTCAAACATGTCAACGTGAGTAATTCAAGAATAAAAAAAAATAAAGCTGTAAAAATCATTAATCCTTATTAAGACACTAAAGTGAATAGAATTCAGGAAATATGATATAAAAGTAGTTTTCCACTCAGAACATCGAAATCAAAATTTCATGTATTTTAGCTACCTGCAAAATACCTAATTGCCAAGCTGACCAGTTTACATGTTTAAGTGACTTTGAGGGCATCTGTACCAATTGTGTAGATGACAACTTAATCTGGAAACCTATCAATAGCAAAAGGAACTGTGGAGGTTTGACACATATACTATTAATACTAACTAAAACGATAAAGATGCTTTATAGTCTTTATTGTCAATATACAAGGTGTTTCATAACACCTGTTCCCATTACAGTTGTCTTTTAAATCTTTTACAGTATCATATTTTTAAAAAGAAAATAAAACAATATCTTACAGAAAAAAATATAATAATCCTAAAAATTTCGGGATTTTTTCTACGTTCTAATGTCATATATAATGACATAAACTTGGAAATTTCCATAAGTGTCTGTCTAAAGAACAAAGAGCAAAGTTCATCCATTGCTATTTTTGCCCTGTGAATTTCTGAAAAATCAAAATTGTTTGTTTTAGATGACTATACTTTGAATATCACTTGGACCCTTGGTGACTGCATATCTATTGAAATGAAAAGAATGTGAGAGAAGAATTACGAATATAAAATCCGAAAAACAATGTTCAATTCAGTTTCTAAAGAGGGTGCTGCAGAAACTCGTGATTATTCCCTAAATCGAGAAAGACATTTAAACTAACCACGGCGCATGAAGAGTTATCTCTAAATATAGATAATGCTACGTAGATGACTTTATTATTTATACGACGGGTATGTCCAGCTTGTTATATCAAAACATTTCACATTTTACGTTTATTTCATGCATAGTTTTTTTTCATAAGGTAGACCTGTAAGTAAACTTTTTTCACATCTATGGTCACTGTCGCCATTTTGCACGAGAAAAGTTGAACGATAAAAGCACAAATAATGGCAAGTGCACCTTGCACATCATTTTGAAAGATGTATTGTAGACAGCGTGCGTTAATATTTTTCAATATATAAAAATGTGTCCAACAATCACGCTGTTGATGCAATATCCAAGAAAATCCATTGAGTCATTTCAATTTAGTTGTTTCAAGTCAAATCTGAGCCAATAATTAACAGAAAAATAATGAAACGAAACGCGTATGAAAAAATTAAATCATTTAAAATGATAGTACTTTATTTTTTAAGACATCGGTGTTACATTGTACTTCCGTTTTATAAGAAAAAAATATGTATATATATATATACCAACCATTCCAGGATTCGAACCCATTTTCAGGCAAAAGAATCACACGCTTTACCACTAGACCAGCTCCGACAGTGAAAATTCAGATGCTATTTTATGTGCACATTTTGCATTTCGGATGCATAATAATTTTTATTCGATTTTTGCGATATTCAAAAATATGCCTTTTTGAATCAAAAATCGGAAATGGCAGTTTTGAAGAAAAATCCCGTCTCTTTATGCGTATATCAAATTCATTCTGTTTCAAGGAGGCAATTTTTCAGAACGATGGGGATTCCCTAAATGAAAAACAGAAAACTTAACTTAATTTGCTATATGACTAATTTACATTTCATTTAATTGCAAACTGGAAGTCGATATGCATTTTCTTAATATTGTTCTACATTGTGCTGTATATACCGTTGTATTTGAAAAAATTTAAGAACGTTTTCTGTTACTTAAAATTTTTCTTTTAAACTGCTACAAGTTTAGGGAAAATAACCAAAAAAAAAACAAACAAACAAAAAACAAAACAAAAAAAAAAAAAAAAAAACAAAAAAACAAAAAAAAAAGAAAACAAAACAAAAAAAAAAAAACAAAAAAAAAAAAAAAAAAAAAAAAAAACAAAAACAAAAAAAAACAAAAACAAAAAACAAAAACTTCAACACCCTCTTTATTTAAACCTTTTAAAAAATAATCTAGTGTATTTCTATATCAGTTTGTAATGAGGACAGATATTATGAAACACTCTGCACCTAAGTTTCTCCCGTACTGAGGCAGTAGTGAAGGCATCGCGGAGTAAGGAGTTTATCCTTATATCGCGGGTTCAAATACCAATGTAAGGCGTAGGAATATCATTTTTTCGGATGCAACTATATAAAAATATGTCAGGTATCGCAGTAGATGTTGGGACGAAAAAGTCCCTCACTGCTCAATGCCCATAAATGAGGAACACAGGTATTAATTTGCTACCGTCCTCAAGCAAATGATGGTGTCCTATCATGAGTAAAAAATTCTCGACTGGACGAAAAGAAAACAACAAATCAACAAAAACAATATGCTTATATACATATATAATATTATATTTGAATGTACATATACACTTTATAGACATAAAGCAGATAAACAAGTGATTGATTGATCAACAAAATGCAAAACATACTTTATATGAAGTTCTATTATCTTATTGTCGGCCGCAGGAACAGTGGACGTATTTGTGTCAGAGAGTGTCAGTGGGGAAGTGAGACGTTATTTTTTATCAGTTACTTAAATAATTCTTTAATTAAAAGTAAAAAAAAAAATGAAAAAAAACTTGTTTTAAACTAACTTTTAATTGCTGTTATATTTATTAATATTATATTGATTTTCTCACCAAAAAATTATTAATTCATGACTTTTTAAGAAGAGTTTATAATAGGTACTCCCCAAAAATGGGAGTGTGTAAGATATGAACGCAAATCTAATATTACAGTTGCAAAATGAAAAAGGGTAAGATAACGAACAGTGATCAATCTCATAAAAACTACAAACAATACAAATATGTGAAAAGGGCATTAACACGGACCCGTGGAAATTCCAGAGGTGGGATCAAGTGCCTATGAGGGGTAAGCATCCCCTATTGACCGGTCACATAGTCACTTGAGCCCCATGTATTGATCAAGTAGATAGAGCATTCCGTAGTCAAATTTAGTACAAAAACAAAGGCCTAACAATTGGTATGAAACAACTCAGCCAAAATACGACCCAGAGATAGGTTATATTTGCTAAAAAGGTCATTATAACGACCATAGAATTTACGGAATACTGACATTAAACGAGGTTGTTGAAATCCATGCAACAGCAACTTATTTGTGAGTAGCCTGCCTCGGTTTAAAAATTGATCGTACTCAGAGCATGCACTTGAGTAGCAAACAAGTTGGAAGACATAACCACCATATGCAGGTGATAGCTGAATGTTACTACATCAATAATCAAAGTTGACGATGGAAAAGTTGAAGTCATCTCGTTTATCATACAATTTAATTAAGGAATAAAAATTGAAAAGTTGGTAAAACTAGTGAAAGTTGTTTTGAATATAGTACAATTGCGAATGACATAATAATATTTTTTTTCTTAACTTAATTTATTGTGTTGTCCATCACTGCCCCGTGCAGTATAGTCTGTAGAAATCATCGGCATCTTTGCGTAACAAAGATCCCAGGTATCAGCATGTATAAAATTTATCCTTTTTGTCATCTGAAGATCTAGATATAACAAATGTTTATCATTTATCACTGATTTTAATACCAATAAATCCATTTGATTAGCAAATTCACTGAAAGCAGGCCCATTTCTATATAATTTGCGATTTCTGCTTTGGTTTTTTACTTTGAAGTACATGTAATATTGAGGACAGTCTGAAATATCTTGCGCTTTTTTGACGCGTACTTGTGAAAGTACTTTTTAAAAAAAATACTTTATTTTTTTGCGGCCCATTTGATGTTTTGCAACACTTACTTGTCTAAAAGTGTAAATGCTTGCAGCAATGTGCTCAGTGGTAGAAAACCGAGAATGCTGGCCGGGGACTTGTTCCACAAGTCATCTAGGAGCAGATTGTCAATGCGATGCTGGTTTCCGTACAGTGAAAACCTCAAATGGAAGTGTTGCCTATTGTCAGTGTATGTTTTATGAAATTCTGAAATAGATTAGTGTGTAAAATGGTTTGCTGAAGTTTGTGAAGTGTAATGTCAGATTCCTTTACATTTATATATAATGTTTTATGTTAAATAAAATACAACAAATGTCTATATTACAGTGGAAAAGAAGCCTGAGATTTTAACATGCAGGTCTAGCCTTATTTTTACTGGAGGTGAAATTGTTATGTCTGAAACGGGAGGAAAATCAACGTCATGTGACAATCAGAAAGATGCCTTTATAAATAAAGTTCCTCTTCTAGCCAATTTTACAAGCGTAGAAACATTCTCCATCAATATTACCTCACCCAGACCTGAATTTATACAAGATGGAAGCTGGAATTATGGAGTATCTGGTGGAGAACTTGTTATTATCCACAAGACATTAAATGGTACGGGTAACATTTCCAATAATTGGAATAGATAATGAAATTTAAAGACTTTCTTAAAGATCATAAACATGCTCAATATTCAGGGTATAACGATCATTTATTGGATGGCTATTAATCAAGTTATATTGAAAATATTATTACTAGTAGTCTACTTATTATTTGAGGGACTGTTAAATCAAACAATTAATAAATTTTATTAGATTGGAAGAAAGGTTAACTTTAGTTCTGAGCAAACAAAATTATATTTCTCCTTCATGCATACTATAATGTCCTATTATATAATCAAAGTACTACTCTCGATGGTAACAAATTAGATTTTAATCGATTATTAATATATATTATCTTTCAAATATCTACGAGGGAAAGTGTTTGAAAATGTATGTAGACATGCCTTTTAAGTTTGTTTTAAATAAGAACTATAATTTACGATTAATATTTTTCAGGAATGGAACATCAGATTCAGTGGTCCCCGTTTAAGAATATCAATACTTCTCATTTAGAGAGTCTTGATCATCAACACAAATCAATGACTCTAGGTGGACACTTACAAGTGTTCGATGGGGATGCGTAAGTGAAGAAAAAAAAACAACAACAAAAAACAAAAACAAAAACCAAACAAACCAAAAACAAAAACAAAACAAAAGAAAACAAACAAACAAACAAACAAGATGTGTTTGTGAAACACTGATAGCAAAGGTTAAACTTTCTCGAGGAATAAACCTGTGAAATATGGAAGCCCTAGCAGCAACCACTGAATAGATATGGAAAAGGTTAAAGTTTTTTTTTCAAAAGAATATCAAACATCAAAGTCAAGGTCAAATGGTCAAAATTAATGGTGCCCAAGGAAATGCTTTCTCCCAAGAAATACCCAGGTGAAATACCGGTATGAAAGCCGAAGCACCAATTGTTAAAAAATTATGGCCAAGGTTAAAGTTTTCCAAAAAAAAAAGGTCAAACTCCAAGGTCAAAGGGTCAAAGTTGTTGGTATTCAAAGAAAGGTCTTGTCACAAGGAATACATATTTGAAGTATGAAAGCCCTAACACCAACCGTTCAAAAATGTTGGCCAAGGTTAAAGTTTTTCAAAAGTAGGTCAAACTCCAAGGTCAAGGTCAAAAGGTCAAAGTTGTTGATATTCTAAGGAAGGTCTTGTCACAAGGATTACATATGTGAAGCATGAAAGCCCTAGCACCAATTGTTCAAGAGCTATGGCCAAGATTAAATTTTGGTAAAATTTTCCTAAACTGGGTTAAACTCCAAGGTCAAGGTCAAAAGGTCAAATATGGTGGTACCCAAAGAAAGACCTTGTCACAAGGAATACACATGAGAAATATGAAAGCCATAGCTTCAACTCAAAAGTTTTGGGCAAGGTTAGTTTTTTTGGACAGACAGACAGACAAGGCAAATACTATATACCCCCGAATCTTCAATACGGGGTATAAAAACAAACAAACAGCAAAAAAAAAAAAAAAAAAAAACAAACAAACAAAACAAAACAAAAAAAAACCCAAACCAAACCAAAACAAAACAAAAACAACAACAAAAAAAAAAAAAAACAACAACAACAAAAAACAAACTATATACCAATTTATTCTTAGATGCAGGTTTCCTAAATCAAAAAAACCTCATTCTACATAAAAATATTTGTGTAATATTATTATATGACTTATTCTTAAATTTTTTCTTATATATTACTATATAGAAATTTAATGCACAACTGTGGTCTAACCTTAGCCCTAGGGTGGCTCTTTATGTATACATATTTAAATTCCCTTTTCCTGAAAATGCTTTGTGGCAAGTTTGCTTGAAATGAACACAATTAACTTGTAATTCTATGAAATTTAACACATATCGGATGGTATTTAAAGAATCACTGTCTAGTTTGTTAGGTATGCCAGGGCATTTACGACAGTTGGAAACCTGGGAATAATTTGTTCGTTATGCATGAATTATCCGATGTTGTTACATGTAGCTGTTGTTAATGTCCTTGGCACATCCAACAAACTAGACGGTGATTCTTTATATTTATATTAATATGTGAATAAAAATGTACATATGAATAAAAAATGCTGATCCCAGCCCACTGAATCGGAAACAATAACCGACCGGGAAATTGACATGCATATTATTTACATGACCTTTCACATTGCGAAATTTTCAGTTGTAATTATCGAGAAATTAACAAACTTAAATTTCAAAAACTTGTCAAAGAGAAAAGAGTTGGAAATGTGAATATAATCGGGTGTGACCGGTCGTTAGGGGATGCTCACTCCTCCATGGCACCTGATCCCACCTCTGATGTTTTTGGAGGTCCGTGTTTGCTCTGCTCCGGATTTGTATTGTTTAAATAGTCTTTGAGTTTGAATTCTGTTCGTTATCTCCATATTCAAAGAACGACGACAACAACAGTCTCGTTCCACCAACTAATCAATAACCATTTACATTGACAGAATTTGCCTCAGATTTATAGCAAAGGCGACGGGATTTTTTAGAACTATAGACAAGCGATCTACTTCTCATATCATTTCGCCAAGGAAATTCAATGGAGAAACAAAAGCCCAAAGAGATGTTTGCTTTCGTTATGATTCTCTGCCACCAGATCATTGCTCCAACACCAAAACTTGTCTTAATGAGCCGATCCAGATACAAAGCAGGATAACAAAGAACAACATGCTAAACATTTCACTCTCTGGATGGTTTGACCCAAAAAGGATTGGAAATAGAGACTACAATTCCTCTGGTATAAAATGGTTTGATGTCAGCATATATATGGTTCCACATACTAAGAACAAATTGGTACCAGATACAACTGCTTTCTGGAAGAATATATCAAAAAATAGTACATTTCATGAAGTTACACTTAATGAAACCGGTCTGTATGAGATACATCTAGAAGTTGTTGATAATGCTGGTGCAGGTGGCAATGTTAGATCCGCTAGGCGATTTGTTCTGTTTGATAACACATCTGAAATACAGATTAATGAAAACAAGCCATTATTAGTGACAACAGCACATTTTGTAAATGGAAATTACTGGCAAACCGAAAAGAAAGCTATGTGCATAAATTGGACGGACAGGTTTTACAATACATATCACAAATTTGACAATGTTCTCCTTCCCATAAAGCCGTCCAGTGCCCTTACTGGTGTTTTTGAACAGCTTACAGGTCCCCTTTCTATTAACGGTACATTAAATGTAGATGGTATAGTAAAGTTTGAGTATTCATACAGGATAAACACCATATCGTCAGGTAGAAAAACAGTCAGTCAGCTGAGTCAATTTATATGTTCCAATGTCAGTATAAGCGATGGAGATGAAGTCCAGTTTAGTATCCATTCATTTGACATAATGAATAACACCCTCACAGACTCCGTGTTTGTTCTGATTGATACATCCGTTCCTGATATTGAAAATATTTGGCTGAGAAGAAATTTCCATGGTGATGTGTACGTCCATAATTCTAAAGAACTCTCAAAAATGAAACTTAAATTTGATGCTTTTGATTTGGAAAGTGGACTAAAAACTATTCACTGGTACTTGGGTTCCAACAGTGGTGCTTCGGATCTGGGAAATGGATCATTTGGTGTAAACGTTCTCTCAAAAAATGTAACACATCTAAAATTAGTACATGAATTTTTATTTCGCTCGTATCAAAATTGATGACATTTTAGAGTTCATTATTCACCATTAGTTTTCCTTAGAATTTTTTTAAAATTTTAGTTACATTCGTTATAACTATACATTTATTTTACAGATAAGTTGTGACAAAATCGAAAACTGTTATTGTCCAAAGCATGGGAACTGTGAATTTTACAACTATACCTTAGATCTATCGAAAATAATTAAAGAGGCACAGCACAATAGGGAGTATTATTTCACAATCCTGGTAACGAACAACGCTGGTCTTCGCTCCTTGCAGCATCTCGATGTCCTTGTAGACGAATCTCCTCCTGTGAATGGTTCTGTCATGGAAGGTCTTCCAGGCGGCAAAGAAATCGATTTTACTGCTACTGAAAAAATAACAGTGAGCTGGAACGGATTCATAGATCATGAAAGCGGAATATCCCATTACCGAATATTTCTTGGAAAACAATGCATACCCGATGTATTAGATCAAATGAGTAACATTTCAGGTTTAACTTCTGTGATTGAAAAAAAGACAACAACAAAGGCATATGAATCATTTAATCTTCCTGAGAAAGGTTATTTTATTTTTACTGTCATTGCATTTAATAATGCCTTAGAACCCTCGAAAGCAAGTTGCTCTGATGGGATACACTATGTCGAGGCTTCTGACGTAATTGACAATATCACATCAGAGAGCTTTAACGCAGACGAAGGGATTGCGTGTATTAATGATGCTCCTTTTTTAATCACTCCAAAGATGAAACGCATTAAATTGGGGACAGTTTCAAATTGCCTTAGCATGTGCCGAAACCTGTCCTTTCCAGCTTTCCTTCAGAATTTGCCTGAAGTAGCATCACACAGATTTAATGATACTACCTACGCACAAGGAATATGTACACGGGTGAAGCCATATAAAGAAAATTTAATATTTATATCATCAGAATTCTGGAAATTATCTTGGGGTGTCAAGGACCGACGCGCAGTAAGGGAATTTGCATTAGGCATTGGAGGTCACCCAACTTCAATATCGCACCCAGATCTCAAACCTTATACTTCAACTATATCACAGACAGAGTATCAATTTGGCAGAGACGGTATAGGAAGTCAAGAACGGCATTACGTCTTTCTGAAGACAGTTTTCAAGTCTGGTGAAGGAAGAATTTTAACAATAGGACCTTTGCTAGTCGATACAAGTCCACCTGCAATCAACGGGGAAATTCTCGTGCATATCGAGGGTCCGAACTTGTTTATTGGATGGGAAAATGAAACCTTTATTGAACCAGAGCAAGGGAATGTCATCGAAGAAATATTTTTCAGGATAGGTACGTATCGACCGAAGGTGTTGAGTTTTTATTTTGAATTCAAAACTTCATTATTTTCCAAATAGAAAAGTCATTAAACATAAGATATTAATTCATGTCCAATTTCTTTCCGTTATTTGTGTTTTATATATGATTTATATGATTGAATTATAAAACACACTGAAAAGAAAAACACTTTATCACGAATCGAGGAAAACGAATCCTGTAAAAAATAAAAATATCGTAGGATCATTTTTATTAATGACATTTTATTAACTGCTCAGTATTTTAATCAGAATAAATATTACTTTACTTTAAGCATATTGTACGATAAAAATATAGGTCAAAATTATGAATATAATACCATTATTATTAAAATATTTGATTTAGACATATATGTGTATTTCATATTCTAGGAACACCCAGAATGTTTGTGACGCCTCTTATACAGTACTACCATACCCATAATCTTAAGGACGACTGCCCTTTTTCTAATGTGGTAGGATGTACGAGATATCCCTTAAGAAAGATTCGTTACAATGAGCAAGACAAAGATTTATTTGTGGAGTTGAATATCTACAATAGAGTGGGATTGTCCGCAAGAAAACGGTCAAAAAGGTTTAGTCTTCCATCCAAGGTTCCACCCGGGGATGGTATGGTCATAGACGTTGATCCGGATGCAGATTCATACGAAAGCGATATTGACTATCAGATAAACAATTCGTCCATATGCCTATCGTGGAAAGGATTTGCACATCATCAAAATGTATCCATATATGCAGGACTTGGTTCTACTCCAAACTCTACAGACGTGATTTCATTTATATCAGTGGCTGCTTATCGATACTGCTTTAGAAATATATCACTTACACCCAACACAAGGTATTACTCTGTCATACGTGCCAGCTGTACCGGTGGGTCATCTTACGCGGTGTCCGATGGCGTGACTCTAGTTAACATCGACGCTGTTGATAAAAAACTACAGATCTTTAATGGAATTGGCTGCTCCGACAAAGATATTGTTTATCCGTCTGATATGAAAAGAAACAAAGCAAATGTAACATATTTTTACAGAAACTTGACAGTTTTAGAAACATATACTTTATTTATCCAAAAAACCAATATTACAAATGAATTATATACGCCAATGTATTTTACAGGTTTTATTGAAAAAGAAAGTAATCATCAATTTGGTACACAAACAATTGAATTAACATCCACAAATGCCCATGGAAATATAGCATTCAAAAGGTTGAACTTGTCGGACAACGTCATTATTCTGAAAAAATGCCATTATAATAGAAAAACATTTAGGAATGAAAATACTGTGTCTTTGAACTGGATATATAACAGTTTGAAGGATGACTACCCTACGCATTTTGAAATATCCATCGCAAAAGTAACAAAACACGGGATTGATATAATAAAATCAGAATCATCCCATATGCGAAAATTAACATTCAGAAATCTTACTTTGAATATAGACAATACATATTGTGGAATAGTGAAATCTTGTTTTGCAACATATTGTTCAAAACCAGTGTTTGGAACACCTGTCAGATTTGTTCCAGTGGAATCAAAAATAAATATTACTGCAACAATGCATGGCGAGGATGAAGACTTAATTATAGACGTCAAAGTCACCTCTGAAGGGAATCGTTTGGATGACGGTCTAAAAAGATGGACGCTTACGGAAGATATTCATGGAAAAAGAAGAATCACCAATTGGTATTATTTCTCAAAAGAAAATTCCATGGAGGTAAATGCAAATCTAAAGACATTTATTTACAGAATGTTATATTTTTACCAAAGTAAAGATTACCACAGTAAATTTCTTTTCTTTCGTATTTCAGACATCTTTGGTCATATCAAGAGCAGATATGTTTGTCAGACCTCCTAGATTCGCATGCGTTCAAAATACATACAACACATTACTGTCACCTGTTCAATGTGTTCTTATTCAGAACACATTTTCTTATGGAAGTAATAGCATGAAAATTTACCTTATTGATGAGAAAAATCCAGATCTACAAAAGATGAGGACAATGTCACATAGTCAAAATCTTGGAGCAAATGTACTTTTATTTGAAAAAAATAGCCTTCGATTTACATCAAGTGAAACAAAAGTAGCTGGAATAATAGTAGGTAGCCAAGGATATGATTTTGATGTATATCTTATGACGAAAAACTTTATTCCTGTAAGCATGGAGAAATGTCATTCGGACAAAAGCTGCTTACATTACAGCCATGCTCAGGATGGATTTGTTTCCTTCCCCGGTTTGCATCTTAAACATGGATGGGAAATATTCGTATGCGTTCGCTCAAGTAGAACATCTCAGGCTAAACCTGGAGATACAGATTACGAAATGGATGCAGTAATAGAAATTTGTAGTGAGGGGTTGAAAATCAATAACTTTCCTCCTTCTGCAGTAGATATCAAAATCAAGAATTCATTTAATGGTTATACGTCAGATGTGTCTCAGCTAGAAGTAGAATGGAACATACCGACTTTATATGTTCCCTTACTAGAGTATCAATACTGTGTCGGCGAGTATTTTTTAATTGTAATATACGTTTGAAGTTGATTAAACTTATGATTACATGAATCTAATCTCTACCTTACTTATTTTTCGTTGATGGATATTCTAGGTTCTGTACCAGGATTGGATGATGTTTTTCCATTTACGTCTTCGTACGAAGAAAACAAAGTTACGATCCAGAATTTTACTCTTACACAAGGATCTTCTTACTTCATCTCAGTAAAAGGTTGGTCTATGAAGAGAAGCTTTAAAAGCTTAAAATATTTGTCATTGCATGAAATTAATCTTTCCGTCAGGTAGTTTGTCTCTTGTGTATAATTTTAAATACTTCTATTGATAGCTATTGACTGCTCAGGTTTAGAGTCGCTTTCGTCATCGCCTGTCCTCACAGTTGATTTATCTCCTCCTATTCCTGGAAGATTTGTTATTGGTTACAGGGACAGTGAGGTGAAATTTAGTAGAAATAGCCTGCCAGTGTTAATTGAAAACTTTGAGGATCCTGAAAGTGGAATTGATCAAATAACTATCCAAGTTGACGGAGTCAATGGAAATTACACATCAAATTTTATCGTAAAAGATGGACATTCCCACATAAAAATCAACGAAAATGTGACAGATGGGTACACATACAAAGCAATTCTTTCAGTAAGTGACGTCTACACAAATCATCCGTAATATGATTAAATTTGCCAATTATTTTCTAATAGTGCATCTGTAATGTGTTGTGATATATATTTGCTATTGTAGGTATCAAATAGAGCAGGATTATCAACGGAATTGGAATCGAACACGATTTTTATGGACAACTCCCCACCAACTGTTGGAACTGTATTTGATGGAAAAGAAATTGTGAGTTGAATATCATAAAATAAAATACAGTTTGCACATTTGCATTAATAATTATGCTAATAGTTGCATATCTTTTGATACCTATCCAATAAATATAAACTAAATTATTGCAGGGAAAAGATGTGGACTTCCAAACAGAGACAATGAGTATATCTGCCTCATGGGACTATTTTTCAGATCCACACTCTGATATAGCATTTTACAGGGTGGGGTTAGGAACAACTAAAACAACAACAGATGTATTTGAAATCACCAATGTTGGAATGAAAAAAAGTACACAATGATTTGTTGAGTGCCCATATATTGATTTAGAAAATTCATGAACACATATATCAGAGTGAAATGATATCAACAATAATATATAATTTCAGTGTAAGTGTCTTTCTTTCAGATTTTACATGGGAAGAAGAGTTTGAGGTGGGAATAATGTATTTTGTGTTTGTGGAATCCTGTAATGGTGTCCGATTATGCTCAAAAGTTCATTCAGATGGTATTATTATCGACAAAACACCGCCCATTCCTGGGATCATTAGTATTGGTCATTCGAATCATGATACATTCATAGCAGATAAGTATGTGAAAAAATTAAATCTTAAAGACATTGTTTTTATGATCTAAAAATATTCCTTTAATCTTAAATATTTTAAATGTCATTTAATCATCACATTTATCTGGTGTTATAGAAATAATTTGAGATAATATTAAATATGAAATGTTATGTTTCTATATATTTCCTAAAAGAAGAATCAAATTTTGCATTACACTTTCAGGACATCCATTACAATACAATGGATCGGATTTGAAGATCCAGAATCAGATATTCAATACTTTGAATGGTGTCTAGGGTCTAGTAAATTTGTATGCGACGTCCGAGAGAAAGAAAATGTTTTACTTGCCAATAGAATATACAAATCGGGTCTGCAGTTACCGCTAAATGTTTCCTTATTTGCCACGGTTTTTGCTTACAATAATGTAGGACTGTATTCCGAGTCAACCTCTAAAATATTTAGGGTTGACGTCACTGCACCGATTTTAATTAGAGCACCCATCTTTTTATCCCTTGACTCTCTTGAAGTGGCGACAAGATACCAGTATGACAATTCAATATTGAAAATGAAGTGGGAATTTGAAGAAAATGAATCGACTGTAGTAGAAATTCATATTATAATAAAAAATACGAGGGATGGAAAAGACTTATCTGATCAGGCAGTGCGAGGGAACATTGATTATTCAATTATAACGATGTCTAACGAGAAGAAACTTCAAAATGGTGACTCGGTTATTGGAATAGTTACTGCTTGCAACATAGCAAAACTTTGCACCACAGCATCAACGCAGCCGCTAGTCATAGATTCTTCCAGACCCAATCAGGGAGGGTTTTCTTATCCAATAAACTGGAAACTCATTAAAGATATTTACTGGTTTAACATTAATTGGTATGGCTTTTCTGACGAAGAAAGTGGTATTTCTTATTATTATATCACTGTCGACAAGACCTATAGTGGAACAAATTTATCTCGAGGACCATTAAAAAGTTTGGGCAATAGTACAAGCATTTCAATTCCAGTTAACAAGACCCTATGGAACTTAATCGATGACGTAATTCTCACAATTTGGGCAGTAAATGGAGCGGGGTTGACAAGTTTGTTTACGAAAGTAACAGTGAAAGCAAGCCTTACCGACAACTCATCAACAAAAGGTCAGTTTTACATACAACGACATTCATGTTCTGTGCACTACTGTAACAACGACTGTACTTGTTCTGTAGTAGGGAAAAAGTGCACCACAACACAGAAACAATGTAAGTCTACAGCAACCAATGTAGGCATTCAAGACAATAACATCATTTTACGCAATGCGTTTCAGAACGGGAAATTTCTTTCTTCGAGTTCCTGTATCAGTGTAGATTTTGAAAAGCTGAATTTATCCGTATTTTATCCGGTACTTAGATATGAGTGGTCTGTCGCACTAGAAGGAGAAGATCCCGGTGTTGGGTTTTATGATGAGAAAGAATATCCCTGGCGAGACGTAGGCATGAGAACGAATGATATTGAGTGTTTACCAAGACACAAAGAACTTGAAAATGAATCGCCATATATTGTGTACATCAGAATCTGGATTTCAGAAGACGATTTCCTGATCAGATTTTCAAAAGCATTTACCATTGATACCATGGGCCCATTTGTTAAGATGGGGAAATATATTAGAACGTTCTTAAAATATCATGCAAAAGAACACAATGTTCGCTTTATCACAGACAGAAATGATGATATCTGTGCCGAATGGGACACCGTATTTTCTGACGGAAAAGGCAATATAAAGGGCTATTATGTGATGCTGGGGAGTCAGTCAAAAGGTTTGTACATCGTTTTCACTGTTCTAAGTTTCGAGCTATATTTATATCTGATATCAAATGCCATAGTTTTTTATAGCCTGAAAAGATAAAAGTCGTAATCATTTTGGGTTACTTTAAATACAGAAGTCTAATAACGTCTGCATGTACATCTCATTTTCTTTCCCAGCCGATGATATAATACGAAGGAAATGGATGGGGAATCTTGGAGAATTGTGTTTAGCAACAACAAACATGACAGCGGGAGTCGATTACGTATTTTCTGTTACAGCTCAAGATGAAGCAGGAATGACCACGACAATTGATTCAACACCTTTTAAGATTGACAATACACCACCTATAACTGGAAAAGTCTTTAACACCGACAAATATAGAGACACTCGATATTCATCTTCTACAACATCTTTGACTGCATCTTGGCATGGCTTTAAAGATGACAGTTCTCATATATCTCAATTTCAGTTCCGAGTTAGAAACAAAAACAGTTCTCTTAACACAAGCCAAGATATCCGTAACACTACTTATAGCACATCTGTTGTTATAAATGACATTCATTTAAAACAAGGGGAGAGGTATGTAATAGATGTTCGCGCTTTGGATGGTGCTGGACAGTTTAGTAAATTTATTTCGAGTCGTCCGATCTTGTTAGATTCCACGCCACCTGTAGGGTTTTTATGCGAACAGAAAACAACAAAGAAAGTGAATTTTACTGTTCTCTCTGAGTTTGCTGAGTTCACATTCAATGTAGAACCTAATATAGCCTACACCTTTACGTTTAAATTAAAAGAAAGACTACCGAAAACGTTGATTTTCGTCATCAACAATAAAACTGAAGTTATGTCCTTTGATTTAACAAATGGTGTTGAAATGCTTTCTGAATATCGATTGATTTCATCAGAACCTCGAAGTGAACATTTCAAGCTGATCTCAAAAAATGTTGAAATATTTGATAATTTCGATATTGATATTTCTGAATGTAACCTGAATGTCGAAAATGGATTCGGTGTAATCGAATTACAAGAACTTCATCCTTCGGTGTTAAAAGTAAGCACGAATATCTATGATCCGGAAAGTGGCATAAAAAGTATCAAAGTTTCAATCGGAACAACTGTTTTTGGAAAGCAGATAATTTCTGATTTTCCAATGCATCAGCATTATAAGCTGCTTTATGTAACAATTCCACACAACACTACAGTTTTTGCATCAGCTAGAGTTTCCAATGGTGCTGGTGTAAGTCGATTGTTTTCTTCAAAACCACTAATTATTGATGACACACCTCCTGAAATGGGCCATCTAAATTCTAATTTGGAGATTATTTATGGGGAAAATTCTACTTTTGCAAAGTACAAAGGAAGCTTTCAGGTGATGGACAAAGAAAATGGAGTAAAAAGCTGCTATTTTGCAATCGGTAATCATTATGCTTTTTAAGCAATAGGCCTTCATTGCCCATTTCTAAGAGACCCTTTATACATCGTAAACTCAATGTTTACATCTTTATACAATATAATTTTTTCAATGTCCAAAATATTTTCTAGTGTATAGAGGATTCTTAATTCAAAATGTTTCTTGATTGTTCTTTTCAATTAAGAGGAGAAAAATTATCCATCTACATAATAAAAAAAAAGCAGATAAAGAGAGCTTAATCTTTTGTTTGGTTACCTAATTATTAATAAAATAGAATTTAAAAAAAAAACAATTCAGTTTGGAAATGTTAAATATTTGTCAGTCATTTCCATTAAGGTTCGAGTCCAGCTTCAGAAAACATACAGTCATGGACTCCTGCAGACATTTTAAAAGAAGAATTTATTTCGATGGACTTCAAGATTTTCCATGGCATGAATGTTTTTGGGAAAATTAAATGCAGCAATACCATTGGTTTAGTTCAACAGATGGTATATGAGCCGATTGTAGTAGCTCTGGCACCCCCTGATTCCGCGGGAGCATCCATTACAATAATCGAAAAATGCGCTGAAGATATTCCGATCGTGTCAGACAAAAATGCACTTTTGCTGCATTGGATGGGGTTTTTTGATTTCATTTCTCTGAAGAAGTTTGATTACAGAGTTTCTTCACAGCGTAATGTTTTAAGCCCTTGGAAATCTGTTAATAAATTTGATTATACAGATATCGAGGGAATACAGATGGAGAACGGACACAGATATAAGGCTGAGGTTAAAGCATTCAGTTCCTTCCATAATGGATCAGATGCAGTTCAACAAACGTTTCTGGTAGAGACCAGGGCTCCGAGAATAACAGGTAAGAATGTAGTTCTCAAGAAATAATTCTATGAAAAAGTTGGAATTTTTTTCATAATAATATCTTGAATTAAGGGTATTAGTAGTATTCTATGAAAGCCATGTCCGTCTAATTATATTGTAAAAGAAAAAATTAATATACATGTATATCAAAAATATGCAATGCGGCAGATTCTTGCAAAATAATTTGTTATTCGTTTTACAAAAGGATTTTCCGATTTATTTTAGGTAACCGTCCAACTGTTTCTAAACAAGAAAACTACATCATAATTGAATGGACTGACCTATTCAGTACATATTCCGAACTTAATTTGACATTCGAAGTAAGTGTTGGATCAGAGAAATATTTTAGTGATTTGCTGCAGACGGAAAGAACCAACGAGAGTAAACTAAAGTTGAATTTACCAAAGAATGAAAAAATCCTGGCAATTTTTCTGTCGATAAAAGCCGAATTTTGTACAGGACAGTTTTCCATTTATTATGGCACACATGCCCTCGAGTGAAAATGATTTGGTTATCTTTACACGTTGATGCATTCCATTAAAATTTCCTTGTTTTCTCTTACATTTTGCCGTATTTTGGATATGTGATACTGTGTTTGAATAAAGTAGAATATTAGATTCATTACAATTCTTTGTTTTATGCCAACTCTAAAAAATAATTCTATTTTGCTCTCTCCCGACTCGGGAAGAAAAAAAATATTGTTTCCAGGGGGTTAAAAAGTTTTGAGTCGGGCCATATGTAGCCAATCGGTAGGGAGAGTGCAACGAAACACTTTTTTTAAAAGTTGAAATTTTCGTATAACTTTTATGGAAAAAGAAAAAAGAGAGATAACGAGTATTGATCATTCTCAAACTTTCATTTAAATAATACAAATTTTGAGTAGAGCCAACACGGACCTCTACCTCTGAAAACAGAGGTGGGATCAGGTGCCATGGAGGAGTAAGCATCCCATGTCGACAGGTCCCACACACCATGTGCTCATTGACATGATTGGGTCAATGGAAAACTCCGTAGTCACTTCAGTGTAAAAATGTTGACCGAACAACTTGTGTGAAAGACTTTAGTTAACATTTGACCCAACGACAAACTGTATTTGCAAGCAAGTCCATTGTATCGACCATAGAATTTGCGAAATTTCGATGTCCTTTATGATCAACGTATTTGTCAATACTTGTCTAGTTAGAAATAGTTTGTTTTGTTTGTTTGTATGTTGTTTAACGTCCCTCTCGAGAATTTTTCATTCATATGGAGACACCACCACTTGCCGGTGGAGAGCTGCAAATTTTGTCCTATACTCGGCACTCACGGCCATTGAGCAGTGAGGGATCTTTTTCGTGCCAGCACTTACTGCGACACGGGGCCTCGGTTTATACGGTCTCATCCGAAGGACCGATCTCCACGTCTCACAGTGGGATTCGAACCCGCGACGTAAGGATCAACTCCTTACGCCGCGACTCTAGAGCAGACGCTCTAACCACTGCGCCACGCGGGCGGAAATAGTTTGTACTCAGAACACGTTCTCATGTATCGAATCAACTGGGAGACGTAAACTCCATATACAGGTGATAATGGTGTATTGCTGCATAAACAAGGGAAGTTGGCGATAGAAAAGTTGACTTCCTCACGTTTATCATAAAGTCTATAGCTAGTTGTCACTTTGCCATCAATGTCTTCCTTTAGTAAAACATCAAAATATGAAACAGATGTTTCAGACTCTATGGTGTCTTTTAATTCGAGTCCAGTGGATATATCGAATCAACGTAGGAACGGAAATGGTAATTGTTAATTGATAAAATGTCATCGATATATCTAAATGTCGAATTGAAGGTCACAGCAGGAGATGTCTTCTTTTCATGAAGAAGCTTTTGAATCGTATGAATACAAAAGACATGTTCGCTAATAACAGAGCACAATAATTACCTATGAATATTCTAACAGATTGTTGTTCAAAGACCTGGTCTCCGAAAACCACATATATACTGTCAATCAGAAACTCAAGCGCCTTTTATACTCTTTAGTTAACGTAGTACTTTGGTGTGGAATGAGAATGTTTGTTAACAATGTAAGTTTGCAGATCTCTAATGACAAGGATTGCAAATTTACGAGTTCCCTGTTTATTGAAGAAGCAGTTGCAGATGATGTCAAAGGTCTGAGATTTTATTCATCGTCGGGAATGGTTGAATAAAGTGCGAAAAAGTAGTATGTTTTGATGATATTGATTTTGGTAAAAAATTTGATTTCAAATTTTCTAAATGTTCCTTGAATTAAAAATTGAACTTTAATATAAGGAATCTTTAACATTACCATTACTGCATAAAAAAATTAAAATCATACGTTCTTGAGTACTTTTAGATTTATTTAAAGATTGTTCATAGTTGGTACACATGCTAGAGAGTGTAACTGTAAAATATGATTGCAAACACAAATGAGCCTTTTTTAAAAGAAAATAAGGTTTTTTGGCAATGGGTTTAAACACCCAATTTTACGCTAACGCCCCCAAAATCTACCAGGTTCAAGATCAGTGATATACCGCCTGTCAATCATAAATAAAACAATAGCTTCTGATCTGATTGACAGGCTAACTACCTGTGCTACCTGATGTTCTGAGATTGGATCTTTCGATAGCAATTACTTAACCACGCGACAACCTGTTTTATTGCCCCGCTTGATTTGTCGCTTGAGTCCACAGAAACTCAATTTGCCGTCATCTGGGAACAAAATAGCGAGCCCCCCCCCCCATAAATTGAATCAACACAAAATTGAATAAAATAATTAAAAGAAGATAATCAGATTCTGATGGCATGAATTAAGTTTGAAAATTAAGAAGATCCCTTCATCACAAATTTTATTCCTGGATGTATATGTTTGAAAAAAAATCACAAATAGTACAATACGTAAACATTGTTTTTCGTGTATAATAGATTGGGGTTTATTTTTGAATTCACTATCATTGGATGGCATTTATCTTTATTTAAGAAATTTGGATTACAAATAATTTCAATAATTCTTCACCACGTAGTGGAAGAAATGTCAAAATCGTAGTTCGAATTTCCTCTAAATTCCTTATTCGTAAATAGCATCATGGCCGCCAGTGTCGGCCAGGAAAATTTAATAATTTCTACAATGTATCTTGTAATTCTTCTTCTTCTTCTTTTTTTTACTGAAATTAAAAAGTCATTGATATGATCGCTTTGTAGCTTACACTCGAGATTTTTTTATATAATATTTTTAAAATACATATCTTTATACATGATTTTTTTAATACCAAAAATATCGATGAAAATGAGGAGTTTGTCAATTTTATGCAAAAGCATTATTTGGTTTCACCGCTGTTTCACCCAGAATTAGACAAGAAACCTGTGTAATGCTGACCATGATCACCATAAAGACTTCCTGTATAATGCAATGTGTATATGAATTTTTGGAATCTTGGGTATTAGGGCACTCCAGGTAAATAACATCTGGTACAGATAAGACCACTCCATCTTCTCAGGTAACCGTACGATAAAAAATTGAGTCTTTAACACAAGTGTTACACAAGTATTACAGGTAGCATTTAAAGTGGGCCCCCTGCGCACTACCACTCAGTATTACACATACATTTGTAAGCAATATGAATGTGTATTTTTGTCACATCATTTCGTCCCAATTATAATGACATTACATGTAAATGATACACTGCTCCATACTTTTTATCTCTTTTTTTACACCTTTTTTTTTTGTAAGTCGGATTAAAGCGATCTAAAGGCATGTGGGTATAAAAAGATAATACTGGACAACATATATTTTTGTTGTTAAGCTCAACATTTGAGAATAAGATCTCGAATCTTACAAGATCTGTCTCATCTTTTAGTAAAAAACAATAAAAAAATAACTTATTCTTAATGTTACTGACCTTTAAAGATGAAACAACAAAATGTTCCTTTTAACATATTTTAAAGCATTTATATAACTCTTTTTTTTTAATCATTAAAATTCACACAGTAAATCCTTTAAACATTTTATAAATTTATAAATCATTAATATTCAAACATTAAACCCTTAATAAATTTGTAAATCTATAAACCTAATGTATTGATTTAATTTAAAACCTAGAAAATATGAACTTCAATACTTATATTTGCATTTTTATCGGAAGGAAAATTTTATAAATGGCCCTGAACATATCAACTTGAATCTTTTATTGATCAAGACCAAGAAATCAATGAAGCATATGATGAATTTGAATCAGTTTATATGGAAGTTATTGATAAAAATATGGCAGTTGAAAAAAGAAGAAAAATGCACATATCAGCACCGTTCATGAACAAGGAACTCCGGAAAGCCATTTATATGAGAAAAAAAAAATGCTTTTTAATAAATATAACAAGGATGGGTAAATTGAAAATTGGGAAATGTTTAGAAGGCAAAGAAATCCAGTGAAAATGATTAGAAGAAATTCTGTTAGAAATTATATTTTGAGAGATGTGTAGAGGGACCCAAAGATAAAGACTCCTGGCCAACTATAAAGCCATTTCTGACATATAAAGGCCGTCATTCGAAATTTTTTTATACTTAATTAGTTAGGAAGGAGAAATTATAAACAATCATACTGAGGTGGCATAAACTTTTAATAATTATTTCTTTGTGAATGCTGCTAAGGATATAAGGGAAAGTGAGTGTACCAAAAACGGTCGACCAAAATCACCACAGTATTAAAGCAAAAGCACGTTGGTAACTATAGACCTGTAGGCATTCTACCAGCAATTTCAAAGACTTTTGAGGGGGTTATATATAAACAGTAAGTAAAATTCTTAGAAAATATGTTCCACCCCTATTTATCAGCTTTTAGGACATGTTATGGATGTAATACTATTTTAATGAAAAGTATTGAAGACATGAAAAAGGCTATTAATGATAATAAATATATTGTTGCAGTATTTATGGATCTCTCAAAGGCCTTTGATTGATAACCACACAACCTGCTACTGATGCAAATGAAAATATATGGCCTCGCAGACTCTGCTTTATCACTTATACAAAGTTATCTGTCGGATAGGAGACAATTGTAAGAGTGGGGATCGTTTTTAGCACATTTAAGGATACATATAAGGGTGTCACTGGGTGAAAAAAAGCAGTTTCCCGTCGTGGGGAACTATATAGAAACCACATGGAACCTCAAGTTTACATCATGTTTCCCAGTGGTTTCTGCATCGGATGCCAGGTTATTCCGTCAAGTTTCCGTGGCACGGAAACTACTAAGCTCCGACTCCATTAGGTATCCCAAACCACGGAAACCTCGGTAAACCTGAAGTTTCCAGAGCCTCCATATAGTTTCCCGTAATGGGAAACCTGAAGATTCCACTGGTTTCTAAATTAGGAAACTACGTGGAATCGGAGCGTAGTGGTTTCCGCGAAATGGAAACTCGATGGAATCCTATGGTTTTCTATGAACGGAAACTAGAAGAAACCTCATGATTCCTCAAGTTTCCTGACACAGGAAACTACATGGAGGTGGAGC